GGTATTTGTATGCCAACATCAATGCCAGGTATTTTCGGAGGAGTGTCCAAAAAAAGAAAGCGGGACGAGGCGTTTTGTCTTGTGTACGAGGTGCAGTTCTCCTCGCTCCCAGTGACAGTCAAGCTGGAATCAAGGACAAGCTGGTTTATGGTCACACATGGCTGCAGGTAGAGAAGGGGGATTTGGGGGGGGGGGTTGAGTTTAGTCCTGCTCCATGGGCTCCTCTGTGGTCCCAGTGTTCAAGGTGGCACTTTCCATGGCGCCCTCTGTAGGGGGTTCGGAGGTACTGCTGGAGGGGGCTACGTCTTCTCTGGCTGCGTCCGCCCCCTCCTCTATGCTGCAGCTGCTGCTGCTCCCGCTGCTGCTGCTGCTCACCGGGTCGCTGCTGCTCTCCTCGCTGTCCCTGCTGCTCTCCGGACCCTCCAGGACTGGCGCCTGCTGCTCCGTCTGATCCATGTCGTTGCCCTCCTCCTGGGAGCCGCACGGCACCTCCCTCTCCGCCTGCTCCGCCTCCGCACCGGAGCCCGAACACGCCTCGGCCTGCGTGCTGCTGCTGGGTTCTGTGGGGAGACACGTTCAAATGATATTTAGACAACATGGTCTTCAGACTTATCTTTCTAGACCAGCGGTTCCCAACCTGTGATCCTCCTTAGCAACGGTCAGTACAGTCCTTGACAGTGGTCTGTACTACTGGATTAACCACGCAGGGCTCAACGCTAACTTTTAAAAGTGGTTGCCAGGCTGGTAACCAGGCATCAGCTTTTGGTTGCCAAGGCTGAAAATACGGTTGCCATTTTTAGTCACCTTATATTTTAAATAATTAAGATACTATACAGTTATACATCAACTTAATAATGAAAATGTGACACAAAAGAATGTTCAAATGCTTTACAATAAGTATTTAACACACTTATTTGAAACCTAAGTGGTAGTAAACTTGTCCACGCTCATTGCTGGTATACTAAACACCAGTAGTGCAGCTGTTGTCCTGTTCTTCACAGATCCCTCACAAATGAATTGAGCAAGTCACTAGTTTCTTGGTCATCCGTTGTCTCCCTTTCAAATGTGGGTTTTCTTGACCTTTGTGCTGTTGACCCCCACCATAGATCCACTGGCCCTTCAGCATTGAAGTCTTGATTGTGGTTCTGTCATTGGCCCGACTAATACATGTCTAATGTTAAATAAATGAAAACCCATTCACAGTTAAGAATTAGATATGAATTATTAATGCTATAAATTACCTTTAATATGTCTAACTATATTTAAAATGTGTTTATAGAAGAGATTATATTTGTATGCCAATATTTTCCTATGGTAAAGTTTCGTTTAGCACTTTTATTTTGGTAGTAATAAGATCGGGACTCTTATTTTGAAGGAACCTTTACCGGAAGTGAATGCACAGCGGAGCATAATGTACATATATATGTCGCTTTCTGGCTCCGTAATCACACCAATGCACGTGCAACTTAAGTGTCAGGTTCCGAGTGGTCACAACAATAACTAAATATCATTCTTAATACAACAAATATTTAACATTTATATATTTTGGGGTGCACATTTAGCTGTTTGCTGTCCTTATTTCTTTATGTTAAAAACTGGTTGCCACTGATGGAAACCAAAGGCCAAGAAGTGGTTAACATTCTTTAATGTCGAGCCCTGCAACGTGTCACATGTTCTGAATTGACCAATCAACATTTAGCCTCCGTATTGTTTATGGTTGAATGTGGGCCGCGAAAAAAAACAATGTAGATTCTTAAGTGGGCCCCGAGTTGAAAAAGGTTGGGAACCACTCTTCCAGACAGTTTTATGATTGACGGAGGGATGAGTGGTTTTCTTGTCGGCCAGAAAACTTCAAGAACCAATCACTCTTCAAAAAGAACACATCATCCCCTACAAATTATAATTTATGACTTATGCCGTTGAGATGCGGGAGATTGTTGGCGTTGGTGAATGTTGCCCTCATTTACTCAAAAGTCATCAGAGCTTTTAAAAAAATAATGTTTTTTTCTTTGTACATAGGGGAGGCTTGCGAGAGGAACAAAGACACGTTCAAACGCATAGTTAGACAACATGGTCTTCAGACTACAATTACCCAAATCTTTGACAGTTTTATGATTGAAGATGGATGAGTGGTTTTCTTGTCGGCCAGCAAACTTCAAGAACCAAACACTACTCAAAAGAGACACATCATCCCCTCAAAGTTACTTTGTAAACCAGACTTATCCTGTTGAGATGCGGGAGATTTTAAAGTGATATTTTGAGAGGAACAGAGGTTATACGGGGTAGTGCAATTAATATACTAATATTTTCGGGGGGGGGGGGGGGGGGGGGAGTATTCCATACAAGTTTCATTTACAGAGCTTTTTACATTTACTCACGAAAGCTTACAAAATGGACTCAATGTTTCCTTTCACTACTGCAAGAAGCTTTATAGGTATTTTAAGTCAATTATATGACAGAGATAATATGACTAGGGGTCGGGTTTTTTTATCAAATTGCCGATAAAACTTTGGCTCTGATGCGGCCGTTTCTCTGGCTGCAGTCACCACTCTGTGTACACGAGCAATGTCCCGCCCACAGCGCTACCTGATAGGCTATTACTGAAAGGCTATTACTGAAGATTTTCCGGGCGGGAGCCAGAGAGGCGGGACCTTCTCAGATTACAGGCAGGTGCGAAAGAACGCAGACACAGACTGAAGCAAGCAGCAGCGCTGAGCGGCAGAGCCATACATGTGTTAAACCGAAGTTCAATAAACATCCCTATCCCCTAAGCTGAAGTTGCAAAAACACCACGATCTTATGATCCAATTCTATCAGTTTCCCAGTTACACAGGGACGCGGGAAGTCAGTCAGAGTTGGGGGTGCGTGCAGCGTCTCGCAGCGGAGTAACTGTGGTGCGGAGGGGGGGGGCTGCGAGTGGAGCCTCGCAGTTTTTCAGGTTGATATGTGAAGCTCATTAGCTAGCCAACATGTATCTAGCAAATGTTTAGCAAAATATTAGAAGTGAGGCTACTAGACTAACGTTAGGTCTACTGTGATAGCCTCACTTTTAATAGTTTGCAAAACATTAGCTAGCACTAGTGTTTTGCAGTTGCTAGCAGCTTATTGGGATTTTATGCTAGATAGACAGATATAATAAATTAAGCATTATTGTTAGTTAAGATGTCAGCCCCACTTATTGTCTCTAACTCATTGCAGATGACTGCACTAAAGAAAAGGGCACAGAGAAGAAACCAGATTTAAAAAGTTAATTAAACGTAATATATGCTTAAATGCATTTCAAAGAAGTTGTGTTGGAGTTTGTGTTATTCTACATTTTGACACCAAGATTTTCTGATTTTACTGCAAATGTATATCGGTTCCAAATATCGGTTATCGGTCTCCTTGATTACTAATAATCGGTATCGGCCTTGAAAAAGCCATATCGGTCGATCCCTAAATATTAGGGATGCTCCGATCGATCGGTCACCGATCGATATCGGCCGATACTCACTCTCTACCGATCGATCGGTGCTCTCTAAACATGCCGATCGCGAGAGCCGATCGCATGACGTAAAACACATGACACTTTTCTCTGTGTGCGGCAAAACAAGCTCGCCAAAATGGCTTCACCGGTCTGGCATTATTTTAAGGTGTCCGAAAAAGACAGTAAAATAGCGGTATGCAACGTGTGTGAAGCAGAAATCCTGCAGCTCCGCCCGCCGGACAGGTAAGCGCAGCGAAACACACACACAGGGAGAACCAGACCGCAGTTCATTTCCTCATATTCCAAACGAGAAATTACGGTAGCAAATCACCCGGTTCTTTACGACCAGAACTATTAACGGGATACAAACCGGAGGAACCAGGCATGGAGGGAGGTGGCAGAGACAGTGGGTGAAACTGGTAGGTTTTCGCCTGTTTGGGGAGTTTATATATATATATATATATTGCTCCCATAAAATCCCCGGGGTTTTTTGCTTTGTATGTCGGGGGCGGGAGATTCATGTGATTGGTTGTTGGTCGTGTTGCTCGCAAAAAATCCCCAAGCTTTCAGAAACGCCCAGCTCCAAGATTTTCAAGATTTTTGAAAAGCTGCTGTGTGGACGTACCGTAAGAGTTAGACCTAACACACTTAATAATAATAATAATAATATATTAATTTTATATAGCGCTTTTCTGGACCCAAAGACGCTTTACATTTGGGAGGGGGGGTATACAAACAAAACAAAAAAAACAGAGACAAAGCCAAAAAGAAACAAAACACAACAGAAAAGCAGTCAGGAGGAAGTTGATTAAGAGGGGGGGGGCTTTATAGATAAAGAGTTGAAAAGGTGGGTTTTGAGGCGGGACTGGAACAGGGTGAGGGACTCAGACTCACGGAGGTCTTGGGGGAGGGAGTTCCAGAGCTTCGGGGCTGCCACAGAGAAGGCTCTGTCCCCGAAGCTCCGGAGTTTGGCCTTGGGGATTGAAAGCAAACCGGCTGAGGTGGATCTGAGGGACCGGGGTGGTTGGTAGAGGGTGAGGAGGTCAGTGAGGTAGGGGGGGGCCAGATGGTGGAGGGCTTTATAAGTGAGGACCAGGAGTTTGTAATTGATGCGGTGTGTAACGGGGAGCCAGTGGAGTTCTTTGAGGACAGGGGTGATATGATGCCATGATTTGGTGTGGGTCAGGAGTCTGGCGGCTGCGTTCTGGACACGCTGAAGTCTACTGAGGGAGGTGGAGCTGATGCCGTAGAGGAGGGAGTTGCAATAGTCAAGGCGGGAGGAGATGAAGGCGTGAATGAGTCGCTCAGCTGCAGGGCGGGTGAGAGAGGGATGGAGTTTGGCAATATTTCGGAGGTGGAAAAATGAGATTTTGACAACATGACGGATGTGGGGCTCGAGGGAGAGGGTGGGGTCAAATATCACGCCAAGGTTGCGTGCCTGGGTGGAGGGGGAAACAGGGGTGCTATCAATGGTGATTGTCAGGTTGGGGGTTTTGCTGAGGGTGGATTTTGATCCGATGAGGAGGAGTTCAGTTTTATTGCTGTTGAGTTTGAGGAAGTTGTGTTGCATCCAGGATTTTAGTGCAGTCAGACAGGATTCGATGTGGGTGAGGGGGGGGTTGTTGGGGGATTTGGTGCTGAGGTAAATCTGGGTGTCGTCGGCATAGCAGTGAAAGTCCAGGTTGTATTTGCGGAGAATCTGACCAAGGGGGAGGATGTAGATGATGAAGAGGAGGGGGCCGAGTACTGAACCTAACTGAACTTAGCTATTTTATCTACCTCTGGAACAAGCTAAACTAGTTATTATAAATATATTTATTCTTCATTGTCGGGTCACTCATTACTGGATCAGTGAGCTGCATGAGATACTGACAGGCTGTCAGAGAGAGAGAGAGGGAGAGAGAGAGAGGGAGAGAGGAAAAGAGAGCGCTTCCGCTAATTTCTCCCGTGTTATTATCCAAAGTTAATGTAAACTTGAATAATGTACATCATTCTAATGTAATAATTAAGTTGATTGTTGTTTGTGGAAGCTCCAGAGAATGAGCATTAACTGAGTTTTAAACATCACTTTAAATGGAAGATTTAAAGTGATGTTTAAATCTTCCATTTAGGCCCCGCCCACTCGATCGGATTGGCGATCGGTATCGGCCGATACTGATTTTGGCGATCGGTCCCGAAATTGGCGATCGGAGCATCCCTACTAAATATGACTGATAACAATAAGCCACTTAACATATAACATCTTAGTTTGAAGATGGCCAACGTTGGTTTTTTAATGAACATGAAGTCCACCTGAATGTATTTTTTCCACAAACTGGTTAACTTTTTATACAATCTCATGTTTAATAGGATTGCAAATCATGCCTTATCGAGCCATCTCCTCCTGCATAGACTATGAGAAAGACTTTGTGCATAATGAACCTCTTTGCTGTTCTTTTGAACATCGTCCTTCAAGAGAAGAATAACCAGACGCAGCTCAAATTGTGCTCGTTTTGATAGAGAAATGAACTGAGCTTTAGGAAACGTAAGCTTAAAGCTCTGGTTGGGAAGAGCCTGTCCTGAACGGGAGCTTAGAGACACATTTTAAGTATGAGAGCTGCAGAGACTTTCTTTGACCATCTGTAATATGTCGTCACAATATGAAAATGCCAATATAGTCACAACTCGTCCCTCGATTCAGTCCAAAAAAAAACTGGCTGCAAACGTGTGATAGAATCAAAACAGTCACCAAAACAGCAATAAAACTGCTTTAGATAAAACTCAGAAAAGGATTCACAAAAGTTAGAACCGTTATTCAGATAACAAAAAGGATAAAAACATGATAGTCGGCACTGACTTAACCTACTAGGATATTAACAATCGTTTAAATAAAATCAATATGTCTTGTGGTTTTATGAGCATCTGTAATAAACAATCATTTGTATTTACTTGACTTTTTATCTTTAAATATCTTATTTTTACATTCTTACTTGCCATTTGGATATCGCACTGGTCCATATGGTGATTTGAATAACATTCATATTAATTGTGCAGCCCTAATTGGGTGGAGAAAATAGTGTTGTTGAACACAGCTGTATCTAATAACTGGAAAATGACTGTCATACGCAGCCAAAAGAAAAAGCAATTGCATTATTAGTCCAGTCTTCCTTCCATACCTGTGGGATTGAATTAAGTAGGGATGCTCCGATCGATATTCACTCTTTGCCGATCGATCGGTCCTCTCTATAAAGGCCGATCAGGAGAGCCGATCACATGACGTAATAAACAAGCTCGCCAAAATGGCTTCACCGGTCTGGCAGTATTTGAAGGTGTCCGAAAATGACAGTAAAACAGCGGTATGCAACGTGTGTGAAGCAGAAATCCTAAAGCTCCGCCCGCCGGACCGGTGAGCGGAGCAGAACACACACTAAGCGTTAGAACTAACACACTTAGCTATTTTATCTACCTCTGGAACAAGATGAACTAGTTATACATATGTTAATTCTTCACTGTCGGGGGGTCACTCATTACTGGATCAGTGAGCTGCATGAGACGATACTGACAGGCTGTCAGGAGAGAGAGAGGGGGAGAGAAAGAGAGAGAGAGGGGGAGAAGAAAAGAGAGAGAGAGAGAGAGAGAGGGGGACAGGAAAAGAGAGAGGGGGAGAGAAAGAGAGAGAGAGGGGGAGAGGAAAGAGAGAGAGAGGGGGGAGAGGAAGAGAGAGAGAGAGAGAGAGAGGGGGAGAGGAAAAGAGAGTGTTTCCGCTCATTTCTCCCGTGTTATTCTCCCAAGTTAATGTAAACTTGAATAATGTACTTCATTTGAATGTAATAATTATGTTGGTTGTTGTTTGTGGAAGCTCCAGTAAATGAGCCCCATTAACTGAGATTTAAACATCACTTTAAATGGAAGATTCCCATAGGCCCCGCCCACTCGATCGGCCCCAAAATTGGCGATCGGAGCATCCCTAGAATTAAGCTTTTTTTTCCCCGTGTAAATCATAAACTGCAAATATGCTAATTTTCCCCTTGGTAGCTAAGAAAACAAACACAAACCAACTATTAATAATAATAATAAATGTGTATAGCGCCTTTCAAGGGACCCAAGACCGCTTTACATGGTGAACAAACAAACAGGAAAACCAGCCTACCTTGGTCCTCTGGAGGAGCAGCACTGCTGGAAGCCTCCTTGTCCTTCCTGTAGCCGGCCTTCTCCTCTTCGTCTTCCTCCTGCACCATGGCTTCTGCCTCTTTCGATTGGCAGGTGGCGTGTAAAGGCCTCAGAGTGTCCGCCTCCTGCTCATCCTCTTCGTCCTCCTCGTCTTCCTCTTCCTCGTCGTCCTTGCTGAACTTAAGTCTTTTCACTTCCTGTTGCTCGGCCTCCATGTCCTCCTCCGCTTCTTCGGGGTGTTTGTTCTTCACCGAGCTCGGCAGGGATCCCGACGCTGACACCTCACTGAAAGAGCGAGAAATGGGCGATACACATGTGATTCTTCCAGAGGCTACATGTGACCTGAAGACACAATTTGAGTTGTATACTGTTGGAAAGAGGAGAGTCCTAGCTTTCTGATCATATCAGGATTGTTTTTGTACTCCAAATATTAAGCAAAGTATGTCACATTATATAATGACTGTTACAGAGTCATCATTTTGAGAAAAAGGCCCATCGATCTGATTGATTATTAGCGGAGCAAATGATCAAAATATTACGAAGGGAAGATATTTTCGTTTGGATTAGTGGTCTGGGGGAAGCTTGCGAGTGTGTGTGTGTGTGTGTATTTTTGCATTTGTGTGTATTGTGTTTGTTTCCCGGGGAAAACACTAACGAGAAACTCCGGCTGTTGTTATGCCTGCTGTGACGTCAAGTTACTCCGTTCTCCGCTTGTAATTATGCCGAAGCTTCAACGTTATATTTATCATCTGAATTTGCCGAAACAAGTTTAAGGTTGCATTCACAGCAGCCTTGTATAGTCCGGTTGAATCGAACCCTGGTGCGTTTAGCGCGGTTCATTTGGGTCGGTGTGAACGCAGTCCGAGACCTCTGAAGTGAACTAAACAACCGGACTCTGGTCCGCCTAAAAGAGGTGGTCTCGGACCGCTTGCTAGTGAACTCTGGAGCGGTTCATTGCTGGTGTGAACACAGTCCGCACCAAAACATAGGAAGCGTAGTATTTACGTGTCACAAGAACACGGGTGTCTTCAAAATCGTGAAGCAGAATGAAGTGTCGTGTAAAGTAAAAACAACTATCAAACAAAAAACTATACATAAAGTCAGAGCCACCTGCCGTCGGTAAAAAAAAAAAAAACCTTACTGCAGAATGTCTCATGTGACCGGCGCTATCGAGATCAGTCGGAAGTCGCAACGGCTCATTTAAAAATAAACGTGGATTTGCATAAAAAGTAATTTTTCGGGGTTTGGGTGTTTTGTTTGATTTTAAATAAACAAAGTCTTGGCTTTCAGAATATGAAACTTTTATTTCCAAAATCACACGATAAATACATGTTTGAAGCTTGTAAAGGGAAGAAGACAGCTCTCCACTCTGCTGTTCCTCAGCGCCTCCCCCCTCCCTCCGGCTGACATTATGAATGTAAGAGTATAGTAATCATAGATAACACGGCAGGGTCCGTTACAGTTTGTTTTCATCTGGTTTCAAATAAACAAAGTCTTGGCTTTCAGAATATTAAACTTGTTTCGGCAAATTCAGATGATAAATACAACGTTGAAGCTTGTAACGGCATAATTACAAGCGGAGAACGGAGTAACTTCACGTCACAGCAGGCATAACAACAGCCGGTGTTTCTCGTGAGGGTTTTCCCCGGGAAACAAACACAATACACACAGACGCAAAAATACACAAACACACACACTCACACACACACACACACACGTGAGCTTCCCCCAGACCAGTAATCCAAACGGAAATATTTTCCCTCCGGACTATCTTTATCATTTGCTAGCCGCTAATAACCAATCAGATCGATGGATTCCAGAGAAGAGGAAACTTTGAAGGCCTTTTTCTCAAAATGATGACTCGGTGACGGTCATTATATAATGTGACATATTTTGCTTAATATTTGAAGTACAACAACAATCCTGATATCATCAGAAAGCTAGGACTCTCCTCTTTCCCGCAGTGTATACAACTCAATGTGTCTTCGGGTCAATGCGACTGATTTTGATAGAGCAGGTCACATATGTGTTACAATGTTTTTTAATCGCACGTTGTCTGAATCATATGAATCATATGCGCCGTTGCTAGAATCTGTTGATATGCTCTCCAGATTAAAACATGAAAATAATCCATGGCCGAGGCTCCGGTAGAAATTGCAGGGATTTGCGTTTTTACCCCCTTAATGTCTGACCAATGGTTGAACAGCATTTCCGAGCACATGACTTGTGTTAAAGTTTATAGTCCGTTTGAATTTTGCCCGTGTGAACGCAAACCGAACCTTCTGAAAAATGAAACGATGTAACAAACTGTGGTCTGGTGCGCACCAGAGAAGCGGACTGCTAGGTGTGAATGCGACCTAATATTCTGAAAGCTAAGACTTTGTTTATTTGAAATCAGATGATTTCAAATCCCAGCGTGGGAGGCGATGAAAACAAACTGTCACTGAACCTGCCGTGTTATCTATGATTACTATACGCCTTACATTCGTAATTTCAGCCCGAGGGAGGGGAAGCAGCGCTGCGGAACAGCAGAGTGGCGAGTGAGAGCTGTCTTCTTCCTTTACAAGCTTCCAAAAAGTATTTATCGTGTGATTTTGGAAATAAGACTTTTACAAAACACCCGAACCCCGAAAAACTATTTTTTTACGCAAATCCACGTTTATTTTTTAAATGAGCCGTTGCGACTTCCGACTGATTTGGATAGAGCGAGTCACATATGTGGAACAGGGTGATTAGATTTGAGCTGGTGTAGATTCTCGAATACCTGGAGTCTTTGTCGTCTTCGTGCTCTGTGTCGAGGTCTTTGTTGTCTGTGCTGTCTGGCAGGCCGTTAGCTGATAGTGAGTTGGCCAGAGACAACTTTGGTCGGTTCAGCGGTCGGGGAGTTCCAGGACCGTTCACTTTCCTAGGGAAAACATGCAAAAAGGAATAAACAAAAGTAATATCTCGGATTTCTGTTTATTCAAGGATCAATTACTAAATCTGTCCCAAACCTCTCTGTAAAAGCAGATGTGTTCCCAGGAAGCATCACTCCATTCATTCTGCTGACAGCGCTGCATCCATTTTTCCTGTACAACAAATTAAGAAGAAACTAAATTCTTAATCCAGTGGAACATAACAAACAAAAACGTTTTGACTTATTTAGTTTATTCCTAAAAGTGTTACATTTGGAGAACACACTTACTCTGAGGTTGGGTGGACACAGCTTACCACCATTACATTCTATAGGGGAAGAAGAAAGGCCGAAATGAGTTAAAAAAAAAAAACGATGACAGCTGGTTAACAACTTGAGGGGAAGAGCAGCTTGGGACATACCTTCTCCACTCCCCGGAGAAACTTATCTGTTCCTGTGTAGTTCCTCTTGGGTTCTGTGAGCAGCTCGCACAAGCGCTGGATCGTAAATGGAATTCTACAATTTAAGAAAAAGCAACATGTTCAATACAAATGATAAAGAAATTAGTCATTTAGGGGTTTTTTTCAGGGTGTGTCTAACTTTGTTTTATCCGTTTATACTATCACTGAGAAATGTCTCTGTAAAACATATGATTGTAGATAACAACAATAACTGTCTGTGATTATATTGACAGTTAAAAAACTAAAAAGGTGCGTTTAGGATTCTGTACAGGGTTTTGTCTAAACCGGGGGACAGTCTTACTTTCGACGTGTGCCCTCATACCAAAATGCAGATTTGTCCAGTAACGTTTTAATGTGATGCCAAAAAAAAATATTTTTGTTTGCAACGAACTGTATAATAACTCAACAAATATGAAAATCGTATCAAATTGAGCTCCGACGTCGCATTGTTGTTTACGTCCGCGGCGCCATCTTGTGTATGGGCGTCATGTTCTCGCGAGAATGTATCTTATATACAAGATAAGCGCTACAGGATTGCCCGCATACTACATTTTTCCAGAAAACTCCCTCCTGTAGAACCATTTAACATATCATGCTATTATGTCGGTTATCAACAATTGTCTAGAGCCTTCTTTACATTTTTTGTTTTGACCAGCCGAAACATTTTTTTTTTACTTTTTTTGAATTAAAAGAATAACTCAAGGTTATCAATCGATTATCAAAATGGTTTGCCGTGCAACCTTTTATAATTTGCCTATTTTTAAAATTACAATTGTTTTGGCTCCGATAGAAATGTCAGGGTGCATTCACACCAAGCGGCAAACTCTGGGGAACAGCCGGGAAGCCAATACGGAAGTGCCACACACTGCAGTTCATACATGGGCCGCTAGGGACTGGCTGCAGAAAGGAGCAATTTCCATTGACCCCCATGTTAAAATGCCCAACTTTACAGCAGAAAAAAACATGTTTCTACCCATGGATGCAATACATATTATTATCGATATAGTTAGATTCCACCTTCATGATTATGAATCTGTGAGTGAATTGTTTTCTAACACGACCCTTTTATTTATATTAGGTCTTAACGTTTTTGCATAAATTAGGGCGTGGTCACGTTGATGGACACGTACGTGCCTCACTGTCAGCTAACAGCAACTTGTCCACTCTGCTAGGCTACAACCATAGAGGCTACAACGTTAGTTAGTCATAGTACTGTACTTGACCCTTTAGCCGTGTTCGTGGTGATTGTGCCTTTTAGGGAATATTGTTACAAATACCAGACAATTAAAATATCGTGCTGTGCGCTTGAATGTACTAACAGAACTTCCAAGAAGTCTAAAATGATAATATTATACATGTTAACCCCGTTCGCAGGTGTTTGTGTGCTTGGTAGCTTAGCTTGTTACTTATTAGCCAGCTAAGGACGTAACCCTTTATGCATACATATACATTTTAGTTTATGATTCAGCCTTGGGTAAGACTTTTATAGTCTATCGCTAGACGCTCATAATGCTAAACGGGAGCAAATGTTAAATGGGGACCCGATTATCCCAGTGGTGGCCGCCGGAGCTAACGGAGCCGCAGGGGGCTAGCTCCAGCCGGCGTCCCGGAGCTAGCCCACTGCGGCTCCGTTAGGTCCGGGCGGTGGAGTCCGTCTTTTCTCAACGTGTGAATGACAAGCATTAAGAATAACAAAATATAGCTAATTCTCTTGCAGATTGTCTCATTTGATTATGAATGTAACGTTTATATAGGGGTACTACACTGTTAGCAGTAACTTGGTATGCACGTATTTCATGTTAGCTTAACTTCTTAGCCTGAGCTAGCTCTGTTTACTTCCAGTTCGGAGGCAGGCCCTTATTTGGAGCAGGCGGGATTAGACTCTGACGTCACAGTCGAGCCGTTAGTGGCCGACTCCGCCTACTAAGGGCTTCACGGCAGCTCTGCAGAATCCTATGGGTGACGTCACGGACCCTACGTCCATTTATATATACAGTCTATGATTCACACCTAATAGTCAGCGCACCAGACCACAGTTTGTTACATTGTTTCATTTTTCAGAAGGTTCAGTTTGCGTTTACATTGGCAAAACTCAAACGGACTATAAACTTTAAACACAAGTCATGTGATCGGATATGCTGTTCAACCATTGGTCAGACATTACGGGGGTAAAAACGCAAATTTCTACCGGAGCCTCCGCCATGGAGCATTGGCACTTTCGGCAGGTTATTCTCAAACTGCTGTTAATCTGGAGATCAACAGACACTAGCGGCCCGCGCATATGATTATATACTCAGACAACGTCCGTTAAAAAACATTATAACACATATAATGAGACGTTCTGCAGTAAGGAGGGGCGTTTCAAAAACGACAGGTGTTCTTACATTTATGTAGTTGACGGAGCATTTTTACTTTACACGACACTGTTCAACACTTCATTCTGCTTCACTCTTTACATTAACAACCGCAGATGTCTTGAAAGTCTCTTTCGCTAAAGATTGTTGAAGACACCCGCGTTCTTGTGACACGTAAATACTACGCTTCCTATGTTTTGGTACGGACTGCGTTCACACCAGCAATGAACCGCTCCAGAGTTTGCAAGCAAGCGTTCCGAGACCATCTCTTTTAGGCGGACCAGAGTCCGGTTGTTTAGTTCACTTCAGAGGTCTCGGACTGTGTTCACACCGACCCAAATGAACCGCACCAAGCGGCTAAACACACCAGAGTTCGATTCAACCGGACTATAAAAGGCTGGTGTGAATGCACCCTAATTATACATTTGAAAAAGCAGGACAACAAACATTCAAAAACCTCAATATAAACCTGAAAGATGAAAAATAAAACTTGATTTGAAGACAGCAATCCTAGAGGACAGCAACAGATTGCATGTGTTGGTCATGGGGAACAAAACATGCAAGATCTGGTTTGCATCTCCCTACAGTCAACCAGACACCATTACTGTCATCAAAATCTACTACTAAAGATGATCACATACCCGTCGTATCCCTTGACAATTTTCAGGATTCTCTCCTTCATATCTTCGAATGGAATTGACTCGACATTTGGATTTGCAGGACCTCTTTGCTCAGGCGCCGAGGCTCTGAAGTCATCCAGCACATTCTCCAATTTAAACAGGAAGTAGTTCTTGAATTGAGGCCATTGCACCCTGGAGTTAAAAGGTAAGCAACAAAAAAAAAGGCTCAACACATTTGGTATGACACATTATAATAGATCGAAAAACTTGCCATGTTGGAGAAAAACATATAGGAGTAGGAGAAACAAGGCATGCCCCACTGCATTTTGAGAAGTTGTCCCCATGTTTCAGGTCATCCCTTGTTGTTTACATTCACTTTCAAACTCTAGCACATGTTTGCGACAGAGAAAAAAAAACAGTTGTAAAACACTATCTTACAAGTGCAGTGAGTGCACTGCTGTTAAATGCTAAAATTGCTAGGTTGGCACACTGACAGCATGTTTGAATAGACAGCCAAACAGATATATCATCACAGATTAGGGTGGTCAGTTAGCTACCATGCTAACAGCAATCATAACACCAACAGGTGCCATCACAACTTTTTAGCGGTGCCCTAATGTTATAGAGAAAACAGGTATTAGACGTTAATATGATGTTAAAGCCAAATCTGTGAAAGCTAAAGGGCTAATGTTAGCTAGCGTTCTTCATTTACCTTCCAGTTCACCTATTGTAAGTTAACGTATAACATAGAAAGGAAAAAGGAACTAATTAAGGACAACATAAGCATTTGTAATCAATAGGTGTCATTTTCTTTAATTTAATGTAAAACCGTATTTCCCATCCCTCTTGACTCCCAGCCGAAGCCTGTCATTTTGTCACTACCGTAGCTTCAAATCCATGTCTTAAAGTCCCACAATGCCTTGTGTCGCTCACTGCTGTTCACATCAAGATCCTATTTTCTATGCTGGTATGGATGTCGCATTGGCTATGGGGACATTAATTAAGAAGAGGCATGAAAATACAGTTGACATAACAAATAAAATGCACAACAAACTAAGATTTTTCTTTTTGCAAATGTTGTACTTCTACTCAACCACAATTCTGAGGTAACTCATGTACTTTTACACCACTAAATGTATATAATACCGTTAGTTACTTTGCAGATGTTTTATTAATGATGTGAAATATAAACACTTCAATAAGACTTAGTTACATCTGGAGTAAATCCACAAGGTACCCTGTAGTATACACAGTGACTAAAAATTAGCTCCACCTCTACCAGCTTTGATAATATATGAATGCATTGATAAGTAGTATATAAACATATTACATAGTCATTGAAATATGCATAAAGAGTACTTTTACTGTCGGTACTTTACGTTTATTTTGATGCCCATACTTTTGTACTTTGACTCGAGTACAATTTTGATTGGACTTGTACTTGTAACAGAGTATTCCTACACTCTATTACTTCTACTTTTACTTAAGAACATGGTCCGAGTGCACCTCTGGTCTGCGTATGTGTTCATGTGTGTGGTGTAGTAGCAGTAGTAACGTTAGTGTGGGGAGAATTTATCAGGCCTGCTATGTCCACTTACAATGTCTCTCCTGTCTTGGCAATATGACATAGAAACTGCTCCAGAAGAGGACATTCCTCCGTCTTTGCTTTCTTATCGAAATCTGAGGAGAGAAAACAAACTTACATTACGTGGGAACAACGAAAACAACCCAACATTTCTTTAAAAACTAGCCTGAACAGAGATAGACAGGCTCTGATTTAACCTAGCTACATGTTCGATAACTCGGCTAAAAGGCTAGGATGTTTTACATTTAACCAACACAATTAAGCTTATTAGGAGGCGACACCCTGGCTGAATACGATCAAATTGTCCAATCAACGTTAGCTATTTACATAACGTAGCGGGCTAATGGGTGCTATACGTCTAGCTTGTTAGCTTGCTAGCTTGAAGTTTAGCACACTAGTTAGCATGTTTAGTTAGCTACAACCGGCAAACAGTAGTCCACCATTAGCCGGTGGCACTTGGTAGTTATTTCCCTCAAAATATGTGTCAGCATGTTTAATCAAATAATGACAGTAAATAAATATACACGAAGAACTAAGGATAACGTAACGCATCATAATTTAGTTATTTGTGTTCCCTTGGCTAATGCATTGGCACAGACAGCTAACCATTTCCGTGTAACAGCTTGTTAGCATTAGCAACTAGCTAGCGGCATTAGCCTTTGAGCAACACTCCGTTTGTTTTCTATTATACAACGTTTAGCGGAAGCAGACATATACAGCGTTGTCTCAGTAAGCACAAAACCTATCGAAATAAAGTGAAGTGACCTCGGAGCGCCTCTTGAAGCGAGTCGATCTCCATCACGGCGTTGCCCTCTGTCAGTGGATGTAAAAAGCAGACTGGTGGCTAGCTGCTGCTGCTAAGCTACGATCTCACAGGCAAAGAGGAGGGAGCATTTTAATATGGCGCCGTGAGGTCACTGCCTGTTCGGCAACAGGCGAGCAACTGTGCTGGGAAGAGCAACAGAGCCTCATGGAGGAAGTATCTATGTGGAATAATTGATTTTAATAAATGTAATTATAGCTGAGACATGAATACAAGTAGGCTTACGTCAAAAAAGACATATGACTGTATATGTTATATCTCTGACACATCTGTTCACTGCTGTGCTCCCTCTATGCTACCTGCTTACATGAATTAAACAGTTTAAAATATTAGAACCAATACACTTGACTATTACTAAGACATTGCTCTTAAGTCTGTACTATTGGCAAGGTGGAAGAAATAGTCAGATATTTGACTTAAGTAAAAGTATACTGCAGTGTACAAATACTTGGTTACAAAAGTATTGGCATCAAAATATACTTAACATACCAAAGTAAAAAGTACTTATTGTGCGTAATGTCCCATTTTAGCATATTAATTAACTGGACTATAAATAATCTCAATTAATGTGTTCATCACAGCTGGTAAAGGTGGAGCTAATTTAATTACTGTATATACTGATGCTCGATATCTTAACCTATCATTTCATATCATAGTTTTAGTATATTTTTGGTACTATTTTATAATCTGAATATGTAAAGTAACAAGTAACTCATTTTGCTTAATAAATGTCGTAAAGTAAAAAATACAATATTGGCTGCCAAAATGAAGTGGAGTAAAAGTATTAAGTAGCATACAATGGAAATACTTGAGTAAAGTAGGCCTACAAGCACCTCGGAAATCCTACTTAATTACAGTACTTGAGTAAATGTACTTCAATAAATGACACTGATTATTGGTTTTGCTAATATGCTGTCCACAATGCTGTTGGCATGGACTCAAGAACAACAACACAATGACTGCAATTATTTAAAATCCCTTAAGGCGTCTAACTGGGTGACTATCATTTTCCTCAAACATAACAAATATATAACTTATAAGAGCCATTAGTGAAACACATACAGCAGGAAGTTTAGTTTCATAAACATTTGTTGATATTCATCAAAACTACATGCATACATTTGTGTGATGCTTTTTATGAAGTAATCATAACAAGAACATGTTATTATTTAAACCAAACAATAAAAATTAAGAAACTTATTTCAAGACAAATCTTCTGTATTGTTATCTAGAATCACATTTAAAATTGGACTTACCTCCTTTGGTGACAAGAATGCATTGCTTTGGTGTATTTCAATCCCCATAAATGGTATACATATGTAAATGAGACTCAGTACATTGCATTGATTTATTTAGAAACACATGTTGACTGTACAGCCATTTTCAGTTTCCAGTTTAAATGATATATTTAGATCATTACACCACATTGAAAGTAATGCTGCTAAAATCCATGTGTTCACAACAGACCATACATCATATTAAAAACTATGACACTCACTCACCTATACCACTCATTTCTTGTAATAGTAAACATGGCAGACATGAATATTTATATGGCACATAATCAGCTGTCACTATATTTAAATGCTAGCACTTTTGGTTTTGATTAACTCCAGACAGTGTAGCATCTAATGTGGACATGTTGCAAACACACAACCATCCAGTCCTAATAATATCATTCTGAAAGTGCATTTTAACATTCGGTTTGTTATATAAAAGTCTGTATTTCCTCTTTTTTGTGCTGTATTTAATACTGTCAGTGGCATTTGGCAGCCGCAGAACAGACCATGAATTCTTCCCATTCACACATGCTCATATTTCAAGTTATCTGCTGGTAAAACATTCACATGATTTGAGAGGAGTGGTTTATGAATCTACTACTTCAAGTAGTAAAGCTTTCCAAAGTCCAATGTCGGCTCTGTGTAGTGTATGTCAATGAGGAAATAAAAAAGAAGGTAGATAAACAAGTACGTCATACATTTAGCTTTTAGCCTACACTCAAGATGAAGAGCTTATAATTCTTGATTTAAAAAAAAAAAGAAGATTTTGTGCAGTCTTTTTTTGTTCACTTTTCAACATGCATTTCATCGTACATAACTGAGATGTATTAAGACGGCAATAAGGCAAACCTATTCTACGCACCACTGACCAGCACTGTATGCTTCTCCGTATACATAGGCTTATTATTACCCATACCATGATTTCACAATAACTTTCCAGGAACACATAAGTGCTGAGAGACGAAACAACCTGGTCCTCTGTGCTGTCAGAATAAAACAGTTTCTCCATCAGTTGTGTCGGACGTGTCGGACCACTTTCTCGTCAAACGCCTTCTTCATGGTCTTCTCTATCTGCTTGAGGAAGACTTGAGGAATGCGACCACACAGGGTGTTGACCGTGTCCAGGAACTTGGTCTGGATGGGGTAGAACAGCGACTGGAACATGTTGTCCTCGAAGGGAAACTGCAGGAACAGAGAACATCGTCCTGTGTCAGTTCTCATCCATGAGCTATTTCAGTTTGATCGTTTTTTAATGGAACGTATCACAGACTAAATGGTATTTACGCATCCCGTCAGCAGCAGGGGTCGGGTGGGGGTGCTGGCGTTTTGCATTAATCATAAATTATGACCGAGCTCGTCTTTAAGAGGCTTATCTCAGCGGTGCAGGGGGGGGCTGACTCTACTGCAGGAGAGAACAAATTCTAAATTTAAAAACTGACCCAGATTGTTTAAGGCAAGCAAGGGAGAATTCACTCAAATATGCTCTTTTTCAGAGGAACGACTTTTCTTTGTTTGTATCCTGATGTCTTTAATGAAACGTTTACCTTATTCCAATCCAATGCACAAGCACCGAAAGCTAATGTACATACAGGATTCTTGCGGTTTGTATATTCGTTGTTTTACAGCTACTATTGTCAGTAGCTTAAGATGAGAGGGTCTGCCTAATGAAATGTAATGTACATCTCTAATGAATCAAAGCCAATTATATACTAAGTCGATCTTTTACTTAAAAATAATATACTATCACGATACTTTTCCAATGCACAGCATCAGTAGACCTCCTTACAGCAGATCTTTGTATGTGCTGGAATAGCACAGGTGTCACTAATTGCATTAATGATGGATAACACCAGGACCCTGGAACTGACACACCCTCTTAAATCAGCCATCGTTAATATGATAAGTTACACCTGTTTGTGTTTACTGTAACATGTCTGCTCTGAGATGTTTCACAGACACTAGCCATTAATGTTACAGTATTAAATAACCAACCATCTTGGACTCCATATCTATATTTTATATAAATACTTTTCTTATAGCGAAAGATGAGCATTGGCGGAAACCTGTATTAAGAATGTTATGGATAGGAGGATGAATATCTGGTTAAAATGCAATACATTATCCGTCATGTTAAGAGTTATATGATCTTCAAGCAGCAAAATAAAACCCTAAAACTTAAATGTAATGAAAATGATTCTCTTGATAAGATCTTAGGTATTATCTTTGATGATTGGCTCACTGATAAAAACACATCTCTTATGAAGTTGCAAAGGAAATATATATTGGTATTTTAGGAGAGTAAGACATAATTGGAAAAGGTTTGGATCTAAATGACTATGAAGTATCCTTTCATATCTTACGGCACATATAAAATCAGTCTCTATTCCATCTTATATTACAAGAAGAAATGTTAGGGATGTCACTAACTCTCGCTGTAATGCTCATACCGCCCCATTATTTCAAACCCTGGAGCTATTAAATATATTTGATAGGTACTTCTGAATTGAAATGTCTTGTTAATCCCCTACATATTTCTTTTCACAGTCTCTTTGTAACTAGGTGTCAGATTCCCTGTTATCACACCAGATCTGCTGATGTTAAGCAGCTTCTCTTGTGGGAGTACAGTAATATGTAAATTAGGTATTAACAAAAAAATGTATATCTATGATGGTAGTCCTTGTTTTTATTCAGTTTTTTCCCTTGGTCTAAAAAGAACAATGTGCAGTTTTAACAGAGCTGGTTGTGCTGTGACACTCATATTGTTTCAATAAACCCTGATTATATTACATGACACTTACATCACATATTGCATCATAGACTACTTTGAATGCCGGCTGCTTGTCGTCGTGATACACTCCACGGTTGCCATGGAGAATAGACACGCCCTCCTTTTCGGCCCCTTTGCAATTACTGCCGTACATACAGTGATCTGGCCTGTAGTTCCACTGGCAGGGGAAGATGAAGAGACACTCTGCAAGAAGAGAAACAGTTTATTTATTATATTATACTCAGGGTTGGGACTTGGACGTAATGTATTCATTTACAATTATTAGTTATGCTAAATGTTTTTTATCAGTAACAAAATCTAAGTATCACAATATAAAAGTACTGTGACCTGATTACTTTCAGTTTGGATTACCTGGATATCAAATGCCAGGCCAGTTAATACAAGAGATAAGAAATAACAATTAGATGTATAAGAGTATAGGATTTTGGATATCTCTTTGTTATCACTGCATAAATCAAAACATACTGTCAACAGCCCTTACGAAATAAATGCCATGTTTAAGGAACAAATTGTTGTTAATAAATCTGACTACGAATTATATAGTATGACGAAAAACCTCTGTAAAAACCTTTACAATAAGATTCACTACTTAGTCATTTTGAGACTAATAAGAAAATAGATGAATAATGTCATACATTTAGAAAGATACTACACTTTAAATTACATTGAAAGCAAATTATGCATTATCTAATGCTAAAAAGAGGTGCATTTAGGAGACATCTGGAGATGCAAATAGACAAAGTAAGTCAAATAAACACCTTAATGTGTATTTTGAATGTTTTCTTTCCACAAATCCACCTTAAAAACCACATGAATGCATTTGATTCAGCCCTAATCTGAAGAGATCACATATTTTTCCTGATAGCAGAACAAACACAAAGAAGTCAATGCTTTTGGATCAACGTAAATATTCCTCTGGAGATTGCAGAGCGCTCCAAGCTGCACCATGTCAAACAGACACTTTGGCTGTGGTTTAAAGCAAACACAAGCGATGCCAGCTCCTCCGAGGCTCTGAGCGCTTAATGCCTACATCTGGCCGCTGCAGCTGGAACTCAGTGTGCCGTAGCCTGCAGTCACAGCATCCTGTGTTTACCTATGCAGATTTATAATGGTGTGGTGCAGTGATGACATGTTTGTATAGACCCAATAGGAAGTTAACATGGCAAGGGGTCCTTTGACAAAAAGTGAATGGGACTTTCCCATTGGATTTCGGAAAATATTGCATAAAATATGTGGACAAGTCCCCACATATTACCAGCACTTTTATGCTGTTTGAAGCGTTAGGCTATGAACAACAAAGTACATAATGGTCACATGGCTGAAAAACACAACTGCTAAGCTAATGGCGGCTAATGTTCGTCATTTAGTCACGTGTTAGCAACCACATGTATGACAAATAGAAGCTTCAGATATTTACAAGTGAGGTATTTATTGCAATTTTATTTATGTCGTAGAATAAAACATGAACATCTTCTAAGCTTTGTTTGATTACAGATTTAATTTCAGGCATCAGGAAAAAAATGCTTTTCAAGTGGTAAACTCATTCCCGAGATTTAAGACTCATTCCTGCACCTCTCTTTGTAGACTGGTTTACCAACAATGAATTGGCGAAATGTTGAAAGACATGATGATCGTGGGCAGACTAGGAATTCAAAATGGTGTTATATACACTTTGATATTCCAGTAATTCCTTTCGTGGGCTTTCAGAAGATCAATTTGTTGCATATTTGTTGGGGCTTTGCATAATGTGTGTTCGATGTGACAACAATATATTCTATGATCATTAAAGAAAACATTAATACAAAAATGACCGTACCTGGGTTGTAGTGGAAGATGATGTTGAGCAGGTCCTGGTCTCCCCATGTGATGTGGTTCTTGTACTTCTGATATAGTGGATGTAGAATATCCTCCCATGAGAGGCCGCTTGGGATCATACTGTTCTGAAATACCGACAACAACATTCACTCTCAAAACAGCTCCAGAGCAATTTCTCTCATTTTTTCTCGAACACTTCATCAAAGGAGGAGCACATTTACATTCCTAGTTCCATTTGAAATCTGCTGGCAGTGTTAAGAGCTGCTAGATTAAGTTCTGAGGGCAGAAGTCTGTGCTCCTCGCATGGTAATCAGAAAGCTTCAGCCCACTCAAAGCACTGCAACTTAAGCTCAAAGAAAATAACCTTCAGTATGTAAAAGGGAAGCTTCCTTTAGCCTTTCACTGATCAGAGAGTGAGGGAAACAAGAGCATGTCCTTACTTTAAACAAAGTGCTGCGGATCCGTGTGAGGTTCATCAGCATCACACCAGAGTTGACCCCGGTGACTCCGTAGAAAGGGTGCCGTGCGAAGCGGCTGTACCAGCCAATCTTTGGGACCTCGTGCTCCGGGGCCATTGCTGCCAGCTGAGTGCTGTTGAAGGACTTCAGAAAGCTCCAGATGTCGTCCATTGGCCGCAGGAACAGCACATCTGTGTCTACGTAAAGTAACGAGTCCACGTCTTTCAAGATGACCTGTAAACAGATGATAACAGCCATCGTTAGAATATTTAAGCGTACGATCTTTCAGCTAAAGATGCAAATATGGGATATGTGTGATTTAAGGGACACTAAATGTAGTTCAACATTGATCAATTTCAGCAGCACTTGTAATAGAAAAATATTATACTCACTTACTTACTTAAATAATATCATTGTGTGATTCATATTTGCTATTGTTTATCTATATTTACTACTTCTCACACTTCTTAGCTAAGCTTGGGAAAATTCCTTATTAAGAAGATTTGTTGCAATGTTGTTAGTTACACTCTATGTGCACCAACAGTATGACCTTCAACTCAGTTGAACTGAGAGCATCCTGATACGGCCTCCCTAACTCCCTAACTTCCATAATGCTCCTTTCATTACCACCAAGCTTTACGCCACCTTTCTCCTCTCTCTGTGTTTAAATATGCAACCCAAACTCTATTATTCATTTTCACTCTACAGGCTGTATGACTGACTGAACTTTCTTACAAGAAATAAAATACGCCAAAGACAGCTGAATGGTTTGATTCTCTATCCACATTTGATAAATAAATTCCCACCACACACTTCAGAGGGATTCTGTGAAAGAGCATTTTGAAATTCACATATCATCCAACATTAAAGTTGTGAGAACAAATCCAGATTTTCACCATATGCTACGAACAATAAGATGAGTTGAGATGAGACAAAACTTTCTGTATCCAGTGATAAATCAAACAGTCTCTGCCAGTTTAACTCAAATAAGCATCCAGACTTCGTTTAACTATTTCTAAAGACACTTACCAGTAGGACAGAGTACATTGTGTGCTACTTCTAGGTTTAGCATGCTGTCAAATGTTACTTAATATACCATTTGGTGCAGGGACGTGCACAGGTACGGGCTAATGTTGCCCGGGCAACGGCCCGTTTGGCCTTTTTGGCTGACCTGCCCCTCTGGAGAGCGAGAGTTTGTCTGTCTTTTTTCTGTTGTGCCCGAATCAACATGATAAGCCCACAATTAGTATCGTAGCATCTCGCTGCGGGAAACACACTTTGTCAGCGCTGTCATCTGCCGGTGCGCCACCTCAGTGTCGGATTTTGGAAACTTGATTTTGAGTTGACTCATGGCAGTTAGGGTATAAGGGACAAACCAGGGGACTTTACTTCCTCTTGATACCGTCGGTTATTACAAAAAAACACCTAAATATAGCCTTTGTTATTGTGCTTCTGTCTTTCTGTGTCTTCTCATCTGTAAGCTCCCTCAACGGGGCCGCTCGCTCTCTTTTCTTGATCGCCCTTTCACGAGTGAACAGTTCAATGTCCCGCTTCATTGTAGGATTTCTGCCATGTCTCTACCACTTCAGTTTGACCATCTCTGTTACTAAGTTATGGAATACTAAATAAATAAGTAATTAGATACCTTACCGTTACTGCGCTCATAAAGAATGATAAGAATAAGAATAATGCGTATTGAACTGGTTTCATTAATTAGTGAGTTTATTTAAGGTAATTAGTTAGAGGCCATATTTTATCAGTATGTCTGCACAGCAGTTACAATGTTCAAACTACATAAGAACAGAATTGTCCCCATTTTATCTTTAATAGTTACTAACATTAGATATTTTAATGAGATATGGACCGCAAAACATTTTTAAAATCAAGTCACCGAATGCAAGTAGTCGCCTTAGCTTATTTTGTTATGAGATGTGAATCACTGTTCAATTTAGTTGATGTAATAATCGTTTGGTTTCTTTTACATTAAAAACAAATTACAATTTTCAAAAGGTCTTGTGTTTTTTTTCGGGGGGGAGGCCCTTTTTCCAGTTCAGAGCAACAGCCCCTCCAAATGTCTGTGCACAAATTTGATACACCTGATTTGGTGTATGAAAAACATGGAGAGAGAGGTATAGGGTACAGACAGAACCACTTTCAGCCAATGGAAATAGTTGTTTAGAGCTTGACAATAAGTGAAATGTTATTTTCGATTTTGACTTCCAACAACTATGAAACAACATAATCAAGTTACTGCTCATTATCTCAGCAATGCTCTAGTGTTGTGTTATAAATCCAGTGCACCCTTTCCTTCACAATGGTGGGCTCCCGCCCCTCACTTAAAACCCAAACTCAGCCAGGCTGTGACATGTTTAGTTTAGCTGGTGCCAAGATGACGAAAAATAACCTTACATAAACAAAAAATGTAAAAGCAGTTAAGCTGTTTAAAAACACTTTGGTTTCAACAAGTCTGACGAGAAACAACAAAAGGTACTTTGCAAAATTCTTTACACAGCGATGTCTACACCACAAGGCAACCCGTTTGTTAAGTCAACAGATATCCAATCCCTAAGTGGTCTATAACAAACAGTAAGAAGCTCAAACACTATTTGTAATGCAACCACTTTCCCATCCACCTCTGAAAGACATAGAGTAATAACAAAAGCCTGTATATGCTTCCTAGCAAAAGACATGTCACCAGTTAACACTGTTAGCGTACGGAAATTGAAACAATGCCATTTACACAATACCATCGTGCCACCATTTCCCCGGAGTTACACTGCCTGGCCTGTATAAGAAATGCTAAGATAAAAGTTGGAAATAATGCATCTAAAGCGGTAAAGATTGTGCCACCACAACTGATTGATGGTCAAACCGCAACATGAAGCCTTACATGAGTCTTCAAATGTAATAAACGGACATTGATCTTTCTTAAAAGTAAAAAAAAATCCATGATGTTTCCAAAGTGAAGGTGTTATTTTTGTATTAAGGTTATTATAGATTTTGTTTGCCATAATCTAGCAGCCCTAGTGATATTATTAAACCATGTCACCGTGCGACAGAGTGTTCCACCACAGGCTTTGCTGGCTCTGTTGGATTGTATTGCTGACAGCAGTGAGGTAAAGCGAGTGCTGGTGTGTGTGACAAAGCAGAAATCGATACCAACAAGCCCAAACAGAGCAGTAACCCACTGTTTATACAGCCTCAGTTTATGTGTGATTATCCACAGCAATGCAATCATAGCCACTGTGGAGTGAGAAGGATTTATCTGTCAATATAAATGGGCTTTTCAAATGTTGTGGTTACACGCTTAATGGATTATAAACTATTAAACAGTGGCGAGCCGTCAGGGCCCTCTAGGCCCTCTGTGTCTAAGATATTCTAAAAAATAATATTTGAAAACATTAAAAAAAAAAAAAAAAAAAAATGTAAATATTATTTTTCATTAGTTTTTCCAAAATAACTTGATTTAATTGTATTTAAAATAATATTTCCAAATAAATAAATCCTTCGAATCTGCCTGTTCAGTTTCTGTTGGAATGTGAAGGGTTATATGCCGTCTCTGCGAATTACTGTGAAGACGGGAGGGCTTGTTGGTCCCTCTCTACATTCACAGAGGGCCAGCTATAGTAACTCAACGAGAGAGTAATGTCAAATGACAGTACAATTGACCAATCATATCTTCCCTCTAAATGGGCGGGCTTTATTTTCGCGGACTTTATGACAAGTTCCGCCCGCTGTGAGGTCAAGGGGTGCAGTGACGCATCCTAAAACCCGGAAGTAAGCTTCACTCGGATTCCTTCGACAGAAAGCAGTGGGATTTCTCCATAGGATTTTGGAAAATAGCTCGAAATAAGGTCTGTGGAAAATAAACCTGTTAGATGAATGCACGTTTTGTTCAGCCGGATAATATCCACATGTCTATACTTTTATTATTTTTGAATCATAAATCTAAATCGATAGATTTATGATCGATAGATTTATAATTAGCATAAGTTTGTTCATGATGGCTCACTTCAGTGATAGTGATGAAATTATTAACAGAGTCATTTTCAAGATTGAGTTACAATGATAAACTGGAGTGGCATAGCATCAGCTGAATGACCCGCAAGTGCTTCATCCAAAAGAACAGGAGGATGGACTTTGTGTTTAAGTGATTTGATCATCAAAGGTAAGCCTAAGTCATTTTCAATGTGGGCCGCCGTGCCGACTTAATTCATTTGTAATTGTTACTTGGCTGTGGGTGCCCTGTCATGATAGGTGTTTATATAAATCATGTTGTTTTGTGTGGTAGAGGGTCGCTGTCATTGATGCGTTTTCCACCCCGGGTCGCTGTTTTGATATTCCGCTGAAGTATACGCTGTGACGTAATATCTCTTCTTTTTTTCGAGGGAAGGGGGGGGGGGGGGGGGGGGGGGTCAGAGGGCCTAGGTATAAAAGTCACGGCTCGCCACTGCTATTAAAGCGCACTGGATGTCAAAAGTGTTCCCTTTAAGCTCTTTTTTATGGTGAGTATTGTAAAACCCACAGAATGATAAAGATACAACAATATAGCTGAGAAGGGTCAAGCAGCCGGAACATAAACAACAAAACCCACATTTTGGGATATAACTAAGCCAACTATAACTTTATAACTATATATGACTTATGAGGTAAGGCAATGTAACTTTTGGCACAAAAAAAAACGGTACCACTTTACAATAAGACTACCCTTATAAAGGGTTTACGAATAGTTTGTAATTCATTTATTAATTCGGTTATTAATTAGGTTCTAAACACTTTATAAATCATTAATAAGCTTTTATAAGACATGAGATAAACAGGGCGACTGTGACCGGTTGCTTGCCAAATAGTGAGACAACATTTATCTGTACTGCCAAGTCTTATATTGGCTACCTAGCTTACTAATAACTATGTTAGAACTGGTTTATAAATGGTTCTTAATGATTAATAAAGTGTTTAGAACCTAATTATGAACCTGAATCCTTTATAAGGGTAGTCTTATTGTAAAGTGGTACCCATTTTTCAGTTAGAAATGAAGTGGCGATATATATGATGACTTGTCCTGTCTTAAATCTGCAGAATAATTTCTTTTTGGTTTGGGGTATTGTTACACACAGTCTCTCTTCATAATCATGGAGTTTTATTTAAAGAAAATGTGTCTCTAAAAGAAGAAATAGTGAAGAAATAGGCGTCTGCAAGAAAGTAAATGTGAAGCGGTGACAGATCAGTTTGCCCTGTTTGTATTCACATCCCTGCAGACGCTCCGCTGCGTTATCTCAGTGATTCCACTGATAGGGCAACATTCCCATCTTTCCTTTGGGCTTTACCCACTTGATGTTTCTGATTGTGTGGTTTACGAATAGTTTGTAATTCATTTATTAATTCGGTTGTGAACACTTTATAAATCATTAATAAGCTTTTATACGACATGAGATAAACAGGGCGACTGTGATCGGTTGCTTGCCAAATAGTGAGCCCACATGTATCTGTACTGCTAAGTCTTATATTGGCTACCTAGCTTACTTCGTCTTCTTCATCAGCCAGCATCCTTGGTATCTGTTGCTCACTGAGTTGATTCTCGCTAAGTAGCCAATATAAGGCTTAGTCCTCTTGCCAAATAGTGAGCCTGTGTTGACGTATGCAAACTATGTTAGAACTGGTTTATAAATGGTTCTTAATGATTAATAAAGTGTTTACAACCTAATTCATGACCGAATTATAAACCCTTTATGAATCCTTTAGAAGGGTAGTCTTATTGTAAAGTAGTACCAAAAAAACTTGTACTAAGTCTTTCAGTTTGTCAACGCTAGCTCACTATACTACTGTTGTTAGCATGTTAGCTAAATGATTAAGCCGTTTGCATTGTTAGCCTAGTCAGGCTAACAATCATTTGCTAACACGATCAGCACAGGTAACCAACAGCGCTGAAATGAATAGGTTAGTACAAGTTATTTGCTCCTTAACATGGTGTTAACTAACTTTGTAAGTCACAGTTAAATTGAAACATTAAGGTTTTATTGTTCACCATAGTGTTATTGGTGGAGGAGTGGCATAGACATGATACAATAAATGTGACACAATGAACTAAATAACCAGCAAATCTAATTAAGTTATTAACAATAAGTGCAATAAATACATTTTAATTAGAATTAAAAAAATGCAACATGCAATTTTTTTTAATAAATAGTCCCTTTATGCATATATATTTTTTTCTTTAGTAAGTTTGTCGATTACAATGTATTCTAACTTTTTATGTGGATTTTATATTGCATATGTTATTTACGCAAGTATATACTTAAAATATGTATCTTATATCTGTCATATTTCTGTATATTTCATTTTTATTATATTGTTAACTGATGTGTAATGACTTTCAACATGCTGCTGAAAACAATTTCCCAATTTGAGGGTTCAATAAGTATATCTTAGCTAATTTCATCTCACCTAATCTAAAACAAAAAGGGAAATGTTACATGATTGTTATAACATCAGCTCAACCTGAATGTTACTAGGATATAGAGCAGGGCATGTACACTGCGTGGCCTCAAGAGCCAGGGAGAGTTGCTGGGTTAAGTGAAGGGGTCAGACCATCACTTTCAGCCCTCGAGGCAAAACAAAGTCTCCCTCGTGCCTCGCCACTACAGTCTAGAAACTGAACTGTAACATGTTTACAGCGAGGCCTTGGGTTATCATAATGTGTGTGATTTGCTCCTGTTACTGACTGGAGATCCGTGAGATTATCTTCTTATTTAATTAATGTTCACACAGGGCCTCTGGCATGTAAGTGGAGAGGGGTTGTTGAGTTAAATCAATATGTTACCATTGGGCTTTAAGTTGTGAAAATGTATTAAGAGTGGCAAATGTTAAGTGTTGAGATCATAGACTGACTGTATATATATAGTGTGGATTTATTTACATTCATGCACTTTAGTTTGATACTGTTACTGATTGGATATCAGTGGGATTCAGATTTATTTTTGTATCTTTTAATGTTCACACCTGGCAGTGCTTTGCTGTTGAGTTAAAGGGAACCAATCATGCTCATTTTCAGGTTCATATTTGTATTTCGTGCCTCTACTGTGACATGTTTACATGCTTTAAAGTGCACCGATCATGCTATTTTTAGGCAATAGGTCTCAGATATATAATATATAAAAAAACATGTCTATGAAGTGTTTTGCTCAAAATACCAAACAGATCACCCATTCTAGCCATGCCTCATATTCCTCTATTTCACTTCCTGTTTCAAAAGTGCTGGTTTGGGGTAAAAAGCTTTTCTTTTTTTTTTAAAAGGAGGGGGGCTGAGCTCATGCTGGAGATTCTACCGGCAGATACTGCGGTGATGAAACGCCATATCATGGATTATCAAGGATTCTCTCTGAAACAGTTTGGAGCTCAAAGGCTTTCTCTCTTGCCGGTTATACCACAAGGTGAGTTCCTTTTTACTTCCTGCTTCTTCACACACATGCTCTGTGCAGTACAGGTTAGCTCTTGAGTGTTAGCGATGCTAATGTAAACACCGACCATATTACGTCCAAAACAGTCGGGCATTGTTTCTGATAGCAACGTTTCTGATTGGGCCGTGGGTCCAGATTTTCGATATTACGTCATATCAGATCAGCTCCGTTGTTCCTCGTTTTTAGAGATTTGGGTACGGAGGAAAAGAGAGAGGGTTTTATTTTCTGACGCTGCGTGAGTTCCCCGACACACCGGGGACACATAGTTATGTATAAAAGACATCAAAAAATGCATTTCGCCTGATAGGTCCCCTTTAATGTTCAAAAGCTCTTTATTTTTCTCATACTGCCTGTGCTGCAGCACCTCCTTTCACCCTCTGTCTGAAACCAGAGCCCAGTCTGCTGTGATTGCTTAGCTGGCTGAATAATAAAAATAATACATACTGAATTGCATTGACCAAATGAAAAAAAATCTCAATTAGATTATTTTCCAATATCGTTCATCCTTTTGAAGCAGTATAAAAGACCACTTTTAACAATATTTGGATTGTGATTTTTGCAGCATTGACTATATTGAAGTAGGAGAGGATTCTAAATGAAGATGGATTAATCCAGACCTTACATAATTCAAACTATTGTAGCGGCTGAATGACTACAAGCTTCTCAAAAGGTTTTCCTGATTAAGTGAAAAGTGGATGTTTATTGATTGTCTTGCAGCTAGAGAAAATAACCAATGGATTTGTCTGGCAAGCAATATGTTCATTACATGGCAAGTAAGCTGGCTGTTATTTCAATGAACATCAGCAGAAAATAAAATCAATAGCCTTCACTTGATGAAATCACCAGGTATCTAGGGACTGCTTATTCACTGAGTAAACGCTGCAGAAAAAGTGTGAAGTCATCAATAATCACACAAGTTAATTATAGCCATGCACTTGGAAGGACATTGCTGTTAAAGAAGAAATTAATTAAAAAAATGTCACTGGTTAATGACATTATGCATGGAAAGGATATGAGAGGAGATAAGTGCTGCAGCCTTACGGGGAGGAAGAGTCTCTGAGCAGCGCAGGGCTTGAAGAGCTTCTTCCACTCGTCGGCGTTCCCCACGGAGAAGGTGATTGGGTAGATTCTGTACTGGAACTTGGAGGAGATGGAGTGAGGCCACTGATTCAGCTGGAAGCAAAGAAACACATACTTCATTTACAAGGTCTAACAAGGTCTTTGTATTAGGAGTTTATTGCTACGCTTATTAACAGGAACAAGAGAGAATGTCCTCCTGATCCCTTCTGTTTTGTTCCAAGAAGTATGATTAGCGGGTGTTTATTTAGAGAAATACATTTTTGTTAGTTTTTCCGATGTAATTTTCCCAGGAAGCCAATTATTGTTTACATGACAAAACTATAGGACTGTGATTTGGCATTAAAGCAAGAAATTAAGTTCATGTCTTTTAAGAAACAATGGGATAAGTGTATTTAAGAATTGTTTTTTAATGATCCTCCACTTAGACGTGTGTGTTTGTGTATCTATGCTAACTGGTTGTCATTTTTTAAACAGTAGAATGTATTGTTCTTCAACCGGAGGTCTGCGTACGTAAGGGGGGCCGTCATATCATTGTTAAATATATCTGAAAATACACATTACAATAAAAATTATTCCAACATATTAGCAAAGATTAATCCACCCGTTTGTGAAAAATTGAAAAACAAACATTACATTACATTACATTGCATTTAGCTGACGCTTTTATCCAAAGCGACTCACAATAAGTACATTCGACCAGGAAGACACAACCTTGAAGAAAACAGAATCATATAAGTACATCAGGTTTCATAGAGCCAAACATTTCAAGTGCTACTCAACTGGCTTTAGATAAGCCAGTCCTTGCACATGCACATTGATGAGTTAGAAAGTTATCCATACACCCTTGTACAATCACATAAGTTAGCTTACCTATGCTAAATCACAACTTATTACATGGCTTAGTTGAATACTCGATTCTGATTGATCAATTCAGAACACGTGACACGTTGTTAATCCAGAACAGACAGATCGCTGTCAAGGATTTATTGACCGCTGTTAAGGACGCTCACATCTGCACAAAGAAGTCCGTTCGATTTAAGTGTATAGTTTGGCTGAAAAGCAAACTGCATGCATCCTTCATCCTGATCAGCCTGTCGGGTGTTCTTCTACCCATAATGACCGCCTCGCTGCACATTATCCCTTACAAAGCACCTATACATAACGAGAAACTAGCTATCTACAGCTACACATTATAATGTGTAATAGTTGTCAGACAACTTTATCCTGCTAGTTATATATAAGATGTTTTTCTATCCTGCTTCCTGAGCTTCTTCTTCACTTTTTGGTATGCTGTGTAACTTAACTTCTCAAAAGGCACTTAATACAGAGGAAGTGTCTAATGGACTCCTTAAGGAAAAGAGATTGAGAAAGAGCCATTATAAACAATCACTATTCTGAAAGCCTCTCCCTCTCTTCTCACACACTTAATCAACATGAGATGTCTCGTAAAGACGTCCATTTAAAACAATGAAGTCACGTCTCGTGGTGCTGCGTTCAGCACACGCAGCCCCCAGCTGTTGTTTGATTAAGAAGCCACAGTCTAAACAAGGGGAAGGCACCCTTTTAAACTGCACAATGTTATCTGACCTGTTCCAAGTCCCTCTATAATCATCAGTTTGACAGTTTGGCCCTGAAAAGAGTGAGAGCGCTGCAAGCATTCGGAGACTTTGTGCTGACGAGGATAAGAAATCAAAGGAGATTATGGGCGAACTTTTTAACTCCCTCAACACGCATAGACGCTGGAAGTAAGCTTCTTCTTGCATTTTAGCACTTTTATCTCGACTAGAAAAACGCCCCGTTTCCACGTGGAGAATTGTAACACATGGCAATAATTCACCATACACATAATGGCAAGTTCACAGGTTTAGAGTTTGAGGTCGATTAGTAGACGTGATGTTAATAGACTGTTAGTTACTCTATCAGTGGAACTAATCAAAATCATGCCAGGCACCTCCGTAAAGGTGACTTTGAAGTGGTAGTGAGAAAAGCAGTGAGTGTCTTGGTGATATATTACTCCCCGCCTTGAGATAAAAGGGTTATACGTCTGAAGAGAGGCAGAGCTAAAAATGCTCTGATCTCAATATCATCTATTACAAAGAGAGCGGGGGTTGTTTAACACACACTGGATTAAATCAGAAGTCAGAAGACTCACTAAGGAAGAAAACATAGGAAATATGATTAAAAGAGTGCCACTTATAGTTTGATATTGTGCCTTTTTTAGTAAAAACCTGAGATGCATTTGGGCGTCAGGCCCCTGGAGGGTTCTTACCCTTTTTTCAAACTGCGGGGCCAAAGGGTCCTCAGCAAAAATGTGAAACATGATCCTCTTGAGGCTGAACAGGAGGGCTGATTTGACCATGGTGAGGGTCTCGTCCAGACGATTCCCACAGGCCACCACGGCCAGGTGCATCACGTCCTTCGCCCGTCTTCGCTTAGTCAGAGGTCGGCCCACGATGTTCCGCGGTTTACTGAAACAAAAGACAGAAGTGTTAACAGTCTGGTAGAAGATAACAATGGAACAAATGATGAACAACAATGTTTTTCTGGATCTAAATGGGCCAAGGCCATGTGTGGGGGGAGTGGAGGGGGTTTGGATCTGCTGACAATCACTGATTAAACGAGGCTCGTTTCCCCTCACTCGTCGCATGTAAATTGGCCTTCATGCTGCAGTGCTTGTGAAGAGCAATTTGTATTCTACAAGAGATTCACTGAACCATACTTGACTCTCAACATGGATTCAAAGTAAACAAACTGAAACAGAAACTGTTATTCATTTCTACAAGGCTTGACCAACATGGAATTTTGATGGTTCATACATTTGTGATTTATATAAGTCAACAAATTATATCAAAATATAGCACTTGCACAAACGTGCCCATAACCATTTACTGACTGAAAACTCATCTCTTTCGACTCCACTTCGAGCGATAGAACTATTAACAAAGCACTTATATACTAACAAAGGACTTGCTTATCTAAAGCCAGTTGAGTAGCACTTGAAATGTTTTGGCTCTATGAAACCTGATGTACTTATATGATTCTGTTTTCTTCAAGTTTGTATCTTCCTGGTCGAATGCACTTATTGTAAGTGGATAAAAGCGTCAGCTAAATGTAATGTAATATACAAAATCCCCAAAAGGATACAGCATTTAGCACTAACCCCTCATAATTTGAAAAGCCTATTTAACAGCTCTTGAACACTTGAAACCTTCTGTATAAGTATGGTAGTAATTAACCTCTTGCTCCTTCAAATTCCCTTTTGCTACCACATGTTTTCCACTGTGCAGAAAAATAGCCTTTATCTGCTTCAGTGCAGCAATATCCTGCTTGTAATAAACATTCAAAAGCAAGACACCCTTTTTTCAGGATGCATGAATCCATCAAAAGAAAATGGACGTGCTGTGCAGTGCTTTTACACATGTAATCCAGCCTGACATAATTCAGAGACAGCATGACAAATAAACTGCAAGGTGTTCAGACAAAGCTTCAAAACACAAAATTATAGAGACAGTGGTGGATCGAAAAGAGTTCTGCTTTGTTGACAGTTCTGCTGTGTAAGTGGCCGTTTACCTCACCTACCTCTATTAAGCTTACCATTGATAAAAATATGCTATATTGGCTGTGAATAGAAAGGATGTATGTTTCCATCATGTCTTTTCAGACGTGTGAAACCAGGCATGTGAAACTAGATAGAACATTCTGAACTTTTGACATATGCGCATTACGGATTCTAGAAGGTGCAATAAAAGCGTAAAAGTTCCAGCCACAATTCTGAGAAGGCGCTTGTGGTTTTTGACACCTTGAGAGCGGTTACAGCGGGTATGAAGACAATGAAGCACAGGATGCAGGCGACCTACGCAAAGGGTCGAATCAACTTCCTGGGCCAGCGAATCGTAGAGACAAGCTGTCCTTATTGTCTCTGTTAATAAATGAAGTCTCTGTTAATGAATTAAAGTATAAAGTTTGCATATTTGAAATTAAATGTTTAAAGAAAAAAACTTGATTCTAAACATGACATTGACAATGTGTTCTGCTTTCATGAAAAATGTTCATATTCCCTCTTGTTAAAATTGCATATTATTACTATAAGTCTTTGTTTTATTTTAACTTTACATTTTGAATTGTTCATTAAGTAAAAGTTGAACATATGTGACCTCCTTCTCCCTCAAAGATAGAAAAGGGGAAACCACCTGACGCAGAGAGGGAGGAGGGCCCGTCCCCACAGCGGCGTGCGTTGAAAGCTTCACCATTCACTTTGAATGGGGTGACGTCACTTTTCGCCAAACTGCATTGCGGGAAGCGACGCGGAGCTTTGCTGGCGTGGCTCGCTGCAAAAGTTGAGCAATGTTCAACTTTTGACGCCTCGGCAGAAGCCAATCGAATCATATGCCTGTACAAGCTCTAGCCAATCAAACCGCTGCTTGTGTGTCAGGGGCGGGAGATTCATGTGATTGGTTGTTGGTTGAGTTTCAGACATGCTTCAATGCACGCCGCTGTGTGGACGGGCCGTTGATGATGCGTGAAGAGAAAGGGGGGCTTTTGAGGCTTTTGAGGCTTGAGAGCTTGGGGGAAGTTTTGGAAGCTTGATTCCGGGTCTTGGGGCCTGGGCTCTTTTAGATGGCTTTAGCACATTTGACTTGTGAACCTGTTGTTTTTGTATTTTGACTTTGTGTCTTTGTTATTTTTTAGGATTCTTTTAATCCTCCATTTTTGTTAAAACCTTAATAAAACCGGTTTGTATTTTGTACATTTCGACCCAACTCCTCTCTCGTGGTTTCTGAAGGTATCTGCTTGGTCTTAGAGTGAGGTAAGAACACCCTTCCCTGGAAAAGACTGACATTAGTTGATAATTTGGATTTGAAATTGAATAGAAACCCTGTTTAAGTTAAACTATACTTTCACATTGGTCACTGTGGTTGATGTGGTTTTGATTGATGTTGAAATATGATATAAGCTCTGCTGATGTGGTAATATCACTGCTGTGACATTAATGTTTGACTCTGGCTGTGTTTGATATTACATTTGCATTGTTTTGATTGGTATAACTGGGGATCAAAATTGGGGGTTAGGGATTGTGGTTCCTGAAGCTGCCCTAATTACCAAGGGGTCTCCCAACAACACAGGGTTTTCCCTCCAGTTTTGATACTGCTCTCGGATTCTACCAGCCCACTACTACACAATACACTCCGTTTTGCTATCCTAACGGTCGGACATCCGAGGCTGGAGTGCCTAAAATAGTGATACGACGGGCAGCATGGTGTTAGAGGCCACGCTGTAAACGCCCGCCTAAGAAGATTACGTTTACCTTGCGTGTAGATTCTGGGGGGTTTTAGTCCTAAAAAGATTGGACGGCCATTCACAGCCTTATCAGCACCGGAGTTCGGTATCGGAGACGGCCTAGATATTAACATTGGTTGTATCGAAGTTAGATTCCTTTTCAGCGTAACCACTAAAACATATCCAGGGTCTGTATTGAGCTACATAATCACACATGTTGCTTTTAGATAAATGAATTCATGCAAAACCACCATTTTACATTTACTAGTTTTGGGCATATTGACAAATTTAGCTCCCATTCACAGGAGCAAGTTATTACATTTGTAAAATAGCCTAATTGATATTACATAATTATAAAATGACTTTATTGATAAGAGCTTTGTAGTTAATATAAGTTGTTCTAAACAGTTAGTGACATTTAAAAGATAATAATACATTCTTAAACATTAGTTACCGTAGCCAAAGAAAAATAACTCACTGGCTAAATAAAGGTTGCTAACGTTAGCTAGCCACGGGTACATACATACACTACCAAGTAAGCAGTAGCTGTAAACCCCAAAGTGTATTGAGCTGAGCAAGGATGCATTTTTGTGCTTATAAAATAAACTTCTCATTTGTAAGAAAATACTTAATTTCTGTTTTTGTTAAAAAGGGAACAAAGTCTTGATTTAAATTCAGTTTTTATACAGAATCTGAACAGAAACTGGGAGTAGAATGAGGTCAGGTTAAGAGCTTTCTGTTAACACCCCACAGAATGCAAATACATTGTACAAAATTATTTAAATACCCAAAATGCATTGTGTCGATCCAGTCAGAGCAGCGATTGAGCAATATCACGTCTGCATATTGAGAAAAAAATACAACTGTTAAAAAACAGTTGGGATCAATTGCATCCAGTCCAAAAAAACAGCGGCATATGTCAGCTCTGCTCAACATTTTACTGTTTGACTGCAATGGACATGGAAATGTGAGAAACACAGAAATACATTTGCACTTTGTGAGAATCCAGACAGAAGAAACAAGTGAAGCTCTCAACAAAATAGCATTCATCTTCCTGTCAGACAAAGAGACAAGGTGAAAGGTGAGATTTTTTTTTTATCCAAGACAAAGTGCCTTCACGTATTGTTCAACACTTCCTGAACACACTACCACACACACACACCACTTATTTTCATCTGTAAGTTCCCACTAGACTTTGTTCTTCCATGCTCAAAGGCACGGAGGTTCTTTATCAGATGTAAGAAAGTGCTTTCTCTGCAGAGCTAGTACTGCTGTGGTGTTAAAACAAACTCAGCAGTACTTAGTATCTCCCACTACACTCGTACCATGCAGGAGCCTGAAGCTGAGACCAACATCATTTATTTTTCCTCTACATACACAGCATGGAGCTGGATGTAATAAAACCATGTTCAACATATGTTGTCATAGCCTTGGGGAGAGAAGACCGGCAAACAAAAACAAAACAAAGAACCCTTTCTTTCAGCGTTAATTGGGAGAACAGTGCAAGGTAAATGGTTTTATGTCTAAAGACTGCATATTCCCAAAAGGCATTGATCTCCTCTGTGCCTGGAGGAAGCAACCATAACATGGATGGGAAGAGAGAAGAGTCAAATTTGACAGGTGGGTTGCAGGGTTGTCTCTGAGCGTGACACTTAGTTTTCTGCATGGCTGAGGGACAATGATGAACCGCAGATTAGGATGAATGAGACGGTGCTGAGGAATCTGTCTGCAACGCTTCAAAGGCCGACGCTCTGTCAAGGTTGTTGAACACACATTCCTATTTTTACCGCCGGAAAGGCAATCCATATCTCCTACACGGGTGTAATTACGCTGCACTTAGTCATGCAAAATAAAAGCCATTGAAATTATTATTGCGTTAAATTGGATGGACAAAACCAAAACCAAAATGGCTTTGTTTTTAGAAAGCATGGGCTGCACACATCATGTTTTGTGTCGTGGCACTGTTCCCCACATCTGGCTGCAGTCTGAGAAGCACAGCAGAGGTACAAAAGAGTTGAATTCATTACCGGCTGCAGACTGAGCACATGAAGAGCGTTGAGCCTACAAAGCAGCACAGGCAACCCTTTTAAATCATGTAAAGACAGAAAGAAGCAGCACCTTTGAAGATTATGTCAAAGAAAAATGTACATTTAGAGCGAAAAACCGGAATACAAACTACACCAAAGAACAC